CCTCCATACAGGAGCTAATGATACTAACATAGCAAAGTTAGCCACTAAAAAATAAAAACAAAAAATTAAAGGAGAGTATACATAACAACCTCTAAAATGTGTTTTTTTTTTTTGGTTTTTTCCATCGTTGTATTCTATTTATATCAATGTTATAAATTTGGTATTAATCACCTTTAATTTTAGGACGTAAGTGGTGGTGAGATTAAATCCCACCTTCACCAATTGCTCCAAAAAATTCCTCTCGGCTCATGAACATTCCTCGTTCTGGCGGGGAGTTGTGCTGTTGATAATATTTAATCTCTAATGAGGGACTCTTGACTCTTTTCTTTCTATAAATGAGTTATTTTTAATCTTTTTACTTGAATTTTAAATCCCATTTTTGAATCGGTTCCTTGTAAGAATATATTGATTTTAAGTACTTTAGGGAGATTTAGCATGTTCAAGATTTCTTTCGAGTCATTTTCTCTAACTATTTTCTTGTTGATGTGTTAACAACATTGAGTTTGGGTGATTGCATTTTGTCCTCGGTGCATCAGGCGGAGAATATTATATTTTACCTTTATGCTTTTGTCATTTTCCTCTCGTCTTTTCCCTCACTGTTCTCCTTTCGAAGCCAATTATCATGCCACTCCCAATCATCCACTGTTTCCCGCATTAATTCTATATCCATCTGCATACATTCTATGTAACTTTTTCCCTAATTATCTGGTTATATAATATTAATTAGTTACATATATCTAATTAAGTCTTTTAGTATTTGCATTTTTTCAATAACATATTCACTCTTTTCATTTTTATATAATTTTAATTTTAATATAAAACACATGTATTTTTCAATCATTTTACATCTAATGTGCTTTTCAAATATATCCAAATAAATTTCATTTTGTCTTGCTGATTTTTGTTAACAAAAACCAGTACAGACATAAATTACATTATAATACTTGATTCTTACTCCAATTTTAATTTGTAATAAAAGTCATTTTTAGCAACATTATATTTAATAATGTTTTATCAACATTTGAAATTTAAATATCAATATTTTTTTGTTAACAGTCTTAGAGTTAAAAGACTGAAAAGAAAAAAAAGTCATAAGATTAAAAGATCAAAATCAAACCTTGTTAAAAGTTATTGGGTTGAAGATATATTTGTGTCAAAGTGATATGAGATTTTATATGAATTTTTAAAAATATTTAAATTATAGGATTAATACAATTTTTGGTCTCTCAGATTTTGTTCTTATTTTTATTTTGGTCTATAAATTTTATTTTATTTAAAATATTAATCCTTATAATTTAATAAATATTGAGGCTATTTAATGAGCAGGATCCTGTATATATTAGTGGGGTACACACTGCAATTATCTGTTTGCCTCTAATGCTGGTGGGAGATACGTGCTTTTTGCGTGAGATTATGCTTTATGGTAAAACCATTCAAGCCGTGAAAACCAGCGCTAGCTTCAATGTAATCCATATTCTCAAGTGTTGGAATACTCGCCATATGATCAATAATGCGGTCTTGGGATGGGGGCATGCGCTCGAAAGATCGAGCTGCGCTCTTTGGAAATCCTTCAAGGGGACCAAGTAGGGGGGGCTCACTTCGGCAAAGACGCCTGTTATTGATCTGACGTTCTTCACATACATTGAACGTCATGCTTTTGATTGTGGAAATTAATACAACTGGCATAATTAGTAGGTGATCTAGTGTACTAGATCAATGTATTAGTTTAAACAAAAAATAATTGTATGAAAATAACTTCTGATCCGTACACTTGTTCATGAAAAGACTGTTTAAGGCTCTATTTGGAAAACACCCCAAACCATGGTTTGGGGACCCAAACCATGGTTTGGGGAAAATGCTACCCAAACAGCCTCTCCAAAAACCAAAACCATGGTTTTGGAAAAAGCAAAATTTTTTTGCTTTTGGAGAAAAAAGGGAGAGTGTGAAGGCCTATATGATATGTATCTTGTTATTTTTTTATAAAGATATTTTTTTATAAATATATTTAATCTTATATTTTATAAATATATATAGACATTAATTATTTATTAATTATATTATCTTATGTATTATTAATTATGTTGGTAAAAAACATATTATTAACAATTTTATTTCTTCAAATTAAAATATATTATAAAATCTATTTTTTCTGTAATTATCATATTAACTTATGTCTTTTTTTTAGTAATTTGTACATATAAAAAGTGCTTCTGATAACAACTATCCAAACACTCTTATTTCTCAGAATCACTTTTTTACAAAATCTATTCTTCACAGAATCTATTTTTTCCAGAATCTATTCTCCAGAATCACTTTTTTAAACCACGGTTTGATTTCATCCAAACACACCTTAAATGGCCAAAAAAAAAAAAAAGGTTAGCTTTGACATCCCTCCACACGCCTTTTGAAAGGAAGATAAAAAAGAAAAGGGTGAGGAGTCTGAAAGTGACAAAAGAAGCGTGTGGGTCCACCAAATGTTATGTATAAAGTTTAGAAGACTTCCTGTTGCCCAATTTGGATTCACATCAGCGTGGGCAGCTACTTGTAATTATATGCTTCGTAACTATAAAATAATTGGATTGGATGAGTTGGCATGAACTTAGAATTAGAACCAGCTATACATTTTATGATTGACTGATATAAATATAAAGTGATGGCAAAGTGAAAATTCGGAGAAACAGGGAAAAAAAATCATTTTCTTTTACAAATATATGAGCGCTGAATGCTTAATAGTGAACATTTATTGTTTTACTTGCATCCTTTGACCCCAAAAAAAAATTGTTTTACTTGCATCCATGTTATTAGATACGGTGGTATGATCTTTTTTTTCCCCGTTTAAGTGATTGTACCTTGTGCTTGGTAAGATTCTGAGAAAGCAATTTTGGAAGGACTAGCAAAAATGACATTGGCATAAGTATAAATAATCAACTTTCTGTTTCGTTGGTTTTTAACTAGATAGCCCAAAAAAGATGTACCCGATGAACTAGTTGATCCAAAGGTGTTCCTCAAGACATTTACTTCGTCCTAGCCCTTCCAACGATGAAGAAATTAAAATGGTCACACCAATGTTGATACTGTCTCATCTTCAATGCAGTAAATAACAAAGCAACAAGCAAATAATGCAGCTCAAAATCCTCAACAACCAGCAGAAAATATATATCATTGGTGAAATAGATGAATCTAAGAAGCTCTTAAGTCAGACGAGTGGAGACAACCTACGAAAGAGACCGAATATAATGCTTTGTTAAAAAAAAACATGGTTACTTGTACAATAATCAGGACAAGGCAACGTAGTTGAATTTGATGAAACATTTAGCCGAGTCTTGAAAACATCTTCACTGAGGTTTGTGCTTGCTATTGATGTTACTTTTGGACGGAAAATTTGGCAGATGGATATTAACAATGGCTTTTTAAATTGAGTTCTACAAGAACGTGTCTTGATGAGGCAACCAGAGGGATTTGAGTTCAAAATTTCCTCATTATGTTTGTTTGCTGAATAAAGCATATCCTTATATCTATGTGGATGGCATTATTGTGATTGGAGATTCATCAAGGCTACTGAACTTAATCATCAACCCACTCAATACTCTGTTTGCTTTAAAAGACTTGGGACAACTACTTCATTTTTAGGTCTAAATCTTGGATCTTTCATGCTCGGTCAAAATACATAGAGCTTTGTGTTCATAAATTGAGAGAGCCAGCACTTGTTTGACCGTTTTATTCTTCTCATCCGATTTATTGGAACAATGTGCTTTTGAACAGTTTGAACTTCAAACTCTATTGTATGATGTTATTGTGTCGGCAGCATTTTGAACTTTGATGTTCTTGCTTGTTGAAATCTCATAGTCTATAAAAATTAAGCATATTGTATATTATCAAAGTTGAACAAGGAACTTAACCAGTAGTATCTGAAATTCTCATCCATTCTTAAGATCGCGGCCACACTTCTAAAGGTGCCAGGCTTGTGCTATTAACTTTAAAATCAATACAATTAAGTGAAGAGCTGACTAAGTTGTTTGAATATCAGCCTCTGCGTGCTTGTGGGCTAAGCTGATTAAGTGATTAGCATTTGTTATTTATGCTAACATGCTGTATGCAGTTGCAAGTCATGGTGTATACATTTCCATATTTGAAGGTTTGAATGGTGTTTGAATATTGGTTTTTACCTTTCCTTTCCTTTTATCAATAGACTTGCAAATGAAAATCAACTCTCTTTTCCAATTTTCCAGCACGGTATTCAATTTCTTCAACGAATCTTGAAAATAGGAAATTAGATTTTATAGAGTGGGTCGTTAATCACTATTGCTAAAGAATTTATACTTTCATATTGTTTTATTTTTTCTTTTTTGTGAATATCTTTTCAACTCTTGGTCTACTGTTTTTCCCCCCTTAAATTAACTTTCTAGAATATGGTTTTGTAGGTGATTTGCTAGATGGAGAATCATCAGGACGTGTTCAACACTCCTCAGTTTTCTGAGCCATCTCATACTATGCAAGTTGATGCTATGGCCTGATGAGATGGTGCAAAACAGGGAGAAGGAGCTCAGGAGGAGCACAAATTTGTAGATCCATTGGACCATTGGAGAGATTTCTCCTACCACCGCCCAGAATTAAATGCTCTGAAGACCTACAAGTAAATTCCTTTAGAATAGTTTTGCAATCATCAATAAATTATCGATGAATTTTAGGGTTTATTATTCTTTTTTGATTGTTTCTGTTGATTTATTTTTGCCGATATGACTCCTCTTTTGCATGTCCCCTAACTATCACAAACAGAGACAGATATGAGACATGAAAGTGACAGGAAAGAGTAGGAGGAGAAGAAAGCACAGAAGGTTGAATTTGCCTCTGGGGGAGCACATCCACAAATGTAACTTGTGTTCCAAGGATTAGTGTACCCGTTGCAGGCTATAAAGCAACCTAGTTTACCTATGGTATGGCAGAGGTCATTCTTACTGCTCATTTTCTATTTTATGTTTATTTTCTCTTTTCTCTCTTCTCTCTTCGGGTGGCTTGCCATTGATGCCTCTTGCTGCTGAGGCCACCTATCGTGATGGTAGGTTGAACAAAAAATCAAAGTAGGACAAGGTATTCATTTAAACAAATGCACCAACACATGCAACTTGCTTCAAGTTTTTATTTGTGCTCACAAGATTTTAGTAAATAATAATGGAAAAATCCTTTGTCCTTTATGGGGCAGGATTCTGTACCTACTCTCGCTGCAATTTTAGCTGTTGCTAAAGCTAGTGGTGGATACATGCGTTTTTCGTAAGATTATGAATGAATAACTTTGAGCTTTTTTATGTATTTTAGAATGAGATGTGTTCGATACTATGACCATTGTTGTAATGTTGGATAGGTGGCACAAACAACGAAAGGCAGAGGAGAGGAGGTCAACTGAAAGGAAGGAAAGAAGGTCATGAGCTCCACTCATATTGGTTTGTTAAACTAATACCTCCAACCATTTCGAAGTCCTTCAGATTGTCGTCTACAAAAATGTTTGTCTAAAGATTTGCCAAGTCACCATTCTATATATTATGAAAGGTGGAAAGGAATAGTGTTGTGGTTATCATCGCAGGATTCAGTCACCCAAATGGTTGGTTTTATTTTGGTTAACTTTTACGAGCACACTGAATCAGGATTTCAAGTAGGATTGGCATTCCAATTGCTTGTGAGAGTACAAAATGCACCACTAATTCACTTTATAGTGGTTTATGCATAAGCTTTTTTTTTTTTTGGGGCATAATTCTTAATACATGTAAGAGAGCATATAAGTAACCTTTTTTCATTGTAAATGATGTTTTGGGCTTTTATTGGATCCAGAAAGCGTGCTCTTTTGTCGCTATTGTCAGTGTGAATGGCGCCAATGGCACAATCAAGTAAACCAAAACATAAAATAAAGGGCATCGGGAGTAATTTTGTTAACTAATATCAAGAAAGTAAAATATGGTGAATTTAAATGCTAGGTATTTCAGTCATTTTAGCTCACAGTTCAATATTGACCTGATAAAGTTGTCTTCATTTTTACTTACCATTATCTTTTGGAATTTGGACCGTAATAAATAGATTGGCATGATTTAAATCTTACCTCTAAATTGGTGTAAAAAAATAACTTATCTTTTATCTAGCCTGTTCGCAGTCTAGATCAATTGCACAATGCAAATGATAGACATAAACCCTATATTTAATTTCATTTATTGTTCTTTTTTGTCTTCACAGATTATAAAAATGAATATTGTTTCATACACTAATCAAGAACTTCATGGTCAATTGTGACCAATCTCATTGAACTAATGAATAATCTTAATAACACAACTAAGCAAACCACGAAGATGTTGAATGAAAGCTTCACAATGACAACAAACCAATTTCTGAGTCTTCATACATTAATGAGACAAACCACACTTTGGGTGGAGTTATGTCATGTATCACCCAAGTGTTTATGATAAAAACAGTCTTATTTATCAAATAACTGAGAATTCAACAAAAGCATCACCGCGCAAATACCCGTCCATATTCATCACCTTGTAGTCAATGATTTTGTAGTCCACACTTTGGATTAGCCGCCTGCATTAATCAAGGAAGGAAATGAACAAGACTACAGAGTATATGCTACATATATTCATGTTATCATATATAAATCATTTTGTAGTCAATGTTTTAAAGAGCCTTGTTTGTTTTCTTATTTTGAAAACCGTTTTTTGTTTTTAAAAATTAAAAAAGCTTTTTTTGTAATTTGTTGTAAATTAAGTGTTTTTTAAAAACAAAAAAGAAATATTTTTAAAAACTAAAAAATGAAAACAACTAGTAGTTATTTTTTGTTTTTGTTTTCACATTTTCTATATTTTGTTTGGAAAAATTGGGAAATCTTTTTTTCTCACTTGATAGCTTTTTCTCCATTTAAAAACTTGAGTTCTTGTTGAAACTTCACTGTCCGGTCTTATTATGTTTATTTTCGAATGTAGTTTTTTAAAACAATTATCCAAACAGGTTTTTTTTCAAAACTTGTTTTTTTTAAAAAATTTATAAAACTATTTTGCAAAAAGAAATAAAAAAAATAGAAACAAACAACCCCTATGTTTTTATCATTCTATTTTGTAAATGTATATCATATTTAGTTGAAAAGTTAGGTTAAATAGTTGGGGGAATCAAATAACCAAAATCATCCTTTTTGAATTTCTTTTCTTCTTAATCACAGTTGATCTCTTTAAAATAAGAAAAAGTGATCCACTAACTCAACCGATACAATATAGAAAGAATATACAGAAACAAAGAAAAATTTTATAAAAAAGCTATAAAAAAAAAAACACGCACACACTCACTCAGAAAAAAGATGGCTCCTCTGTTTCATCCTTTAATGATATATATAGCAGTTGTTGTTGTTATATTAACTACTGTTGGAAAAGAAATTGAAATAAATTTCAACAAGCAGCTCATCTTTTAGTGATTGTAAAGCACAGACAAATGTAGCAAAAACATTCAAATAATTTAAAAGAAAGGAAAAATCGGCGTATAGGGAGAAAAAAAAGAGATGCAATTTTTTTTTAATGCTTTTCGCCTCATATATGAGGCTTTTATTGATATCATACTAACCACTAGGAAAAAAAAGACATAGACAATAAGCGGAAAAAAATCATAGAAGTAACGAACCTGGAAAGAATGATAACATGATGATGGACTTATCCTTCTATTATATTAACACTATCCTGCAATACCAAATCATAATATTAGCTGCCTAAAATAGAAGGTAATTTTGAAAAGAGGCGTCATTGGCATAAGCACGATACAATCAATTCTCTACTTCCCTCGTCATTAGCAACACATTTTCCGAAACAATATTTGTTAGTGTGGGTATGTCATACCTTTGCTGAGGATAGCATTTCTACTATTTTGTTAAGGTCTCTTTTATCCTTCCATTCCATCTCTTGCCCTTCTATTTTTACTCTAGATAACTTTGGTGTTTCCAACACTATGGAACAAAACATCTTCATTTCAGGACATCCAGTTATTTCTATCTTGTGCAATCCAGGGAATTCAAATGTTTGACTTTCTGAAGAGAACATCTTCAAGCTTGGCATATTAGTAAGTTTGATCCACCACAATCGGTTGAATGTGATTCCACCTTCTACACCTTCATTGTTCTCATTCAGTACAATTTCCTCCATTCTTTTGCAATTGTTTATCCACAACCACACAAGACTCACCAAGCTTTTGGCACTTGAACTTGTCACCAAGTAGACGAGTTGATGACATCCAGATACAAATAGATCCCGCAAATTTTGAAATGAAGCAAAGGATGGTACCAACTTGACCAAGCTATGACAACTTTCGACTTCCAGGCGTGTTATTAGGTCTTGGTGAGTTGGTGGTAGCTGAGAGTCATCCTTCCATATGCTCTTGAGTTGATCCAAATAGGCAATGTGTAATTCCTCAAATGGTGGGATTTTCCCCTTAAAATCGATAATCTCATCCTGTGGGGGGAATACCTCCTCAAAAGAACTATGCTCCACATAAAGCTTTTCCAACATGGGAAAGCTTTCAAGGGAGCTATGGGGAAAGGTTACCCCTTCATCCTTGAAGCTTTCTACATAAAGAGTTCTCACTTCAGGAAAGACATCCCTTATTATTGTGATATTCTTTGCATTTAAAGCCATGCTTTCGGTTGTGGAAATTACCTATAAAATCATAATTAGTAAAAAAAATTACCATAATGAGTAGGCGATTTAGTAAATTACATCAAGATATTGTTTTCAAGAATTAAAAATTTTCAATGGATCACTCATCTTTTGCTAATATCTAAAATTTTCATAATTTCACCATGAAATAACATCCACACCTTAAAATTTAAAAAATCCTTTAAATTAACTTCATAGCCCCTTTTTCGTCTAAGTTAAATTTGAAAAAAAAACCATAATTTCCTTGGAACCCATTGACATTTAAGGCTGGCCTTTTTTTACTATGAAAATAACCTGTTCAAAGATTATTGGAAATTGGTAAAATTATTATTATAAGAAGGTAGTTTAATAAATCAGGTCAGAATATTTTTTAAAATAATAATTTCTTATATTTATTGTAGATAAAATCTTTCTTAATTGACCGGTCATCTTTTTCTAATACTTATATTTTTCATCATCAACCCCCCCAAGCAAAACGTTAAAAAAATAAAATTCTTTGAATCAGTTTATAGGCCCATTTCTCTCCAGTCAGAGATCTACAAGCATTATCACACTATTTGCAGTAGTTTGCCACATCCATTAACCATCATTTGCTTATTAGATTTCGCGTGCAATCAGAGTCTTGTAATTTGATGAAAAGTTTATAATTTGTGGGTATACGACAGAATGTCCAAACTTTAATATTTATATTAGATATTTATCTGATCCTAAATTTGTAGATGATGAGGAATTATCTAAAAAATGAAAAATAAGAATATCAATATGTTGGACTAACCTCTTGAATAGTAAACCGGTGTTGGATAGTGGCATTAAGATCAGTCATCCAAATATCTATGTGAGATTCTTCATATGCTCTCTTCACTCGAACATTTTGAAGCTGCGGGGCATGAATGGCTCCAGAGCAGAATGTTGTGAGTTGAGGGCACTCTGTTATGGTTACACATTGTAATAATGGAAACTTGAAAGTATAATTTTGGCCGCAAAATCTCTTCAATCTTGGTAATTCATCAAGTTCCAAAAGCTCCAATTTGCTGAAAATGATTTCCGTGTCCTCATTGTCCTCTTCTTCCTGTCTCGCTATAATTTCTTCAATTTGATTTTGATGGCATAAGGATAGTGCCAAGTTTATTGCTCCTTGGCTATGATTATTGCTCAACACATTCTTCAATTTTGGCAAACAGATTAACCTTAGCTCTTTCAGTGGCACAGCCATCGATGATGACACAATCTCTTTATAATCATTTAAATCTTCAAAATAAAACACCGTCTCCAACATGTCACAAAACTTGACTTCCAGTTCTTCCAAGTTGTTTAAATATTTCAGCACATGAAGGGGCACCAATTTCACAATGCCACAGCGACTCACACTCAATGTTTTCAAGTTGCTAAATGAGTTGTGTGAAGGTTTGTCATCCCATATCGGCGGAACCAGACTGTTTAAAGAGTGTAATTCTAATATCTCTAACTTTGAGAATGACACCTGTTGAAAGAAAATATAATTAAACAAAAATCTTTTAGCAAAAAATGAAAACGAAGTTACTGTTGATTTGCGAGGCTTAGTGTTCATGAAAGATTGTTTAAATGTGTAAGTATAGATCTCGTGTACCACAATATTCTTCAAGAGATTGATAAAAGTTCACCTTCAAATTTCAAGTTCACCAAACAAAAATAACTAACTAAAAAACAAGAGAACCATAAAATGCTACAATAGCTAGCTTAATGCTAAAGTAAGTAATTTAAGTGAAATAATTTTTGTAGAAATATTGAGACAAGGAAAAATAGAGCATATTTGTACTGAACAGAGTAAATAATTCCAGTAAAATTAATTTTCACAACGTAAGTTTGAAATTAAGAAGTTAATAAGATAAGAAAATCTTGGTAAGGAAAAAATATACAAAATAAGAAAAAAAATAAATTAATTTTTTGTCCCGAAAAAACAATAATAAATTGATTAGTAAAATATTCTGGCCTCCTTTGCATTGAAAATAAGTAATTTAGTGAGTGGAAATTTGGTTAATTCTTTAATTCTTTAAATAAATATATAATTGACTAAATAAGTTATAAATATTTCTCATTTGCTTAAAAACTTTAAAATTTAAATTTAAATAATTTCTATAATCTATCAGACTTAGATAATCTATATTATATGATGAAAAGAATATGTATTCAACATATTTTTTAGCCATTTAAAGAAACCTAAATAAATTAATTTCAATGTGCGTGACAAACAATTAAAATTATAAAATTTTATAATAGAATTAAAATCAAAACATTTTATTACATTTTAAAAAGTCTGAAAATACATGTATTAAAATTATGTTTTGTGGTATTAAAAATTATTTTGAAAAAATGAATGTTTAAATAACTTTTACGTGAAGAAGCAGTATTTTGGTCAAAATAAAAGTTTAACGATCAAACTTAATGGTCACCTTACAGTTGGATAGATAGAAATAGAATCTCAAATCAAATATACAAGAGAGGTTTGAACAACATGTATTTTAATTTTACTCGTTATACATACATATATATATATATAAAACTAATTTGACAGCCCTTATCCTTTTATCAAATTTGGAATCAGGTTCCTGTAGTCTTTTTTTTAAAATTTTATTAGATCCTTATTATTTGCTCAGTTAGTAACCAAGGTCCTTCCGGTTATAATTGCTGTTACTTTAAGTTAATAGCAGTGATGTGGCATGACTAGGCACCATCTTACTTACCTCATCTAGAACACTTCCTCCCTCATTTTCTCTCTTCCTCCTCCAGTCGGTTTTCCTTTTAGAGTAAAAAGCTTCATTCAGTTTCCTTCCAAACCAACACCATCATCTCTCTCTCTCAACTCATGCTCTCTCTCTCTCCCCACCATCGTTTTTACTTGCTCTTGTAGAAGCTTCATCCTGTTTCGAATTCCTCCTCAGATGGCGATGGGGATCTAGGTGATGATAGTTGACTAAAAAGAGAACCACGATGTTGTGAGATTCATCGGATTCATCGTCTTCATCCTTCAAATGGGCTAATTTGAATGGACGATTAAATCCAATAGTGAAACGTGGAAGAGGTTCTACTACTCTTTGGCCCACAAAAATAAATTAATAAACAGAGAGAGAATCTGATGATTTTGAAACATGGAGTGAAACTTTTACAAGAAGAGATAAGGATAACGTAACGGTAGTGGCAGGGAGAGAGAGAATATGAAGTGTGTGAGAGAGAGGATGATGTTAGTTTGGAAGAGAACTGAGTGGAGGCGGGGGAGAGAGAAGATGAAGGCGTAGGGGTTACAAGTGAAATGAAGAACATGATACTAGTCAGATTTTGAACGGTGCCATGTTAGTGTTGTCATCTTAAAGTAACGGCAATCATAACGGGAGCAAAAAATAAGGATGTAATAAATAGAAAAAAAAATTATAAAGACCTGATAATTTTCCCTTTTTAAAATAAAGGAAAGATTTCTATAACTTAGATAAAACACAGGGCTAGTTAGTATATTTTACTGTAAATTGATTTGAACATACCTTATGATTATTTGTTACTGGGTCTTCAATGTTGAAATCCGTTTTATGCTCTTCCACTTTCAATCTTGGTAGACCACTGAGTTCTAATCTTCTCAACGCACTGAATGTGACTCCACCTTCCACATCGTCATTATTCTCATTCTTTACAATTTTCTCCATCTTTTTGCAATCATATATGCCCAGTGTTTCAAGATTCACCAAACTTTTGGCAGCTGAATTTGTCATTAAATAGATGAGCCGATGACATCGGGACACGTTCAGCATTGTCAAATTATGAAGTTGTTGAATTTGATGAACAATGTGTGATGGGAATATCTCCTCAAAAGAACTATCCTCCACATGAAGCTCAGACAGCCGCGGCAATCTTTCAAGCAATGTATACGGAAATGTTACCCCTTCATCATCAAATCCTTCTATGCCCAGAATTTCCACTTCAGGACAACTGTCCACTGGAAATTGGTCATTCTTTATCATGCTAACATCATCCTCATCTAACACCATCTCTCTTGATGCCACAAATCTCTGTAAAACAGATATGGAGTCAGAAGCATGGTAATATTAATTTATTAATTATGTCGCAACTTCTTATTGAATCAGTAATATTATTTTGTTTTTTATTGTGTCCCAAGATCAAATGCGCTCACTAGCAATGCGAAACATTTTGATCTCATTTATTTTTCATAATTAATCTTGGAAAGGAAATAATTATATCAGCCATGACAAAAAACAATAATGCGGACACATTTCACTGTGTATCACATTAATCATTAAATGAGGATGTAATTGTTTGGGATATTTTATAATTAAAGTTATGTAATTAAAAAATGATAACTGCTCCCTCCAGTTCTTTTTATAAAAATTTGAAATTTGAATGGTCTTAGTTTTTTTTATAAGAGCCAACTTGGATTTGTCTAAACATTTAATATGTTTTTATCTTTTTTGTCTCTAATTAATTTTATACATTGCATTAATTAAAAGGCTGACAACTTGCTATATTATCTTATCTTTCTTTTTTTTTCTCATTATTACTCTATTTTCTCTCTTATTTTTTCCCCCATAACTAAGGGTATATGTGGGAAAAAAATTCATTTCTTATTGAAACATTTCGCTGTGTATCCCATTAATTAATTAATTATGATGGAATTGTTTGGGATGTTTTGTAATTAAAAAATGATAACTAAAATTTTAGTAGAAACTTCAAAACCGAAACATGTATAGGCATATTTATATTAAATATCATAACAATGGAACATTTATAGATTCATATTTTTGTAAAAGCTGGAAATAGGAAGAATGGAGCATTCTAGACGTACCTGTTGGTATACTGTTTTGTTAAGATTGGTGTCCCAAATTTCATGATGTTTTACCCCCCATTCTTGTGACACTTGAACTCTTTTAAGAGATGGTGCCTCAATGAGCCCTGGAGAGAATACTTTGAATCTTGGACATTCTGTTATGATCAGCTGATCCAATAACGGAAATCTGAAAGTGTAATTGTAGCGGCAAAATCTCTTCAATTCTGGTAACCGTTCAACTTTCAAATGCTGCAACTTGCGGAAAACGACTTCCTCATCGTCATCATCCTCTCCTTCCTGCTTCCATATAATTTCCTTTATGTTAGAGCACCAACTAATTGAGAGACTTGTGAGATGGACCAAGCTTCGAGCAACTGATGACGTCATCAAAGTGGTCAACTTATGACAATATGCCACGTGGAGATGTGTGAGATTTGGTGAAGAAACTAAGAGTGGTACCAAGCTTGTGATTTTGGGAATCCTGTCGAGAGTCAATTTTATTGGAAGAGGAACATCATCCCCTCCGCCAAAAGCCTCCTTAATGTGACCTCCTAGTGTCAGCTCCTCTAAATTTGGAAAGCTCTTCCACAACAATTTGTATGAAATAGTCGTTGCTTTATCATAACCAGTATTTAGATGAAGCAGTTTTACTTTGGGGAAGCGGTACGTTGAAAGCTGGCCACTCCCTATCATCTCAGCTCCTTTACCTTGTAATGTCAGCTTCTCCAAATTATGAGTGACCTGCACAATACATAAATCATAACTAAATGTAACAACTCATCAACGCGTCAAAATCCAGCCGTGTGCATTTCTTTAGGAGGATATCTTCAAATTTAAATTTGATGCATCCACAATTTTGACGTACATGTATTTTGTAACTACAAATAATAATTATGATACATTAAAATGAACATAAATTTCTAGAGTGGAGTTTCTATCTTTGATTATGACATACAAACGTTATTTCTTCCTTCGCTTGTTTTAAAAAAAAAATTATCAAATTAAAGCTAATAATGGCTTGAAAAAAGAAAAAAAAATCCCCTCCGTTGATTCAATGACACACCTCTTTTCCGTGAAGATGGAAAGCTGAGGATTAGAGTCCCACTTTTTTAAAAAAAGAAAAAATAGAAAATTATTTAATTAATTTCTAATATCTATTATTAATTAAAATAATTATTATGAATTATTCCTTTTTAGCTTTTTAAGTGAATCATCAAATTAATCCTAAACCACATTATATTCTAATAAATGGTTTAGTAACCGGAATAATTCACATACTTGAGTACCAAAAAAATATCAAATTCAAACGTGCTCTTAGACTGTGAAACAAAATATGTTTCATTTTATTAGATTGTTTTTAAAATAAATAACCCATGAATAGCTAATTTAGAGATGTACCTTGTTATGGGACAGTAGAGGATATTTCGAGTCTAATAAGCTCCCTTCCTCGTGTATTTCTACTAAACTTGAGACTTCCTTTTCAAATATCTCCAATTCATCACAACTTTTAATAGATAATCGATAAAGACGTGGCCATTCTAATGTGTGTCTCTGTGGATAGAAATTTCTCAAATTTTTAAGTGAAGAAAGCTCAAGGAAAGTCAACCTGGGAAACTCTAACAGAGGAGCAACAGATTCTGAAACTTGATCCTTCGCAACAATCACATCTATGCCACAATACTCTATTAGAAGCTCTTCAAGATCACGAAGCAGACTAGTGAGGCTTTCACAAGAGTTTATCTCAGACTTGGGAAGGAGACGTCTCCTTTATAGTGATTGCTCCACACATTCTTCAATTTTCGCAATCCATCTAGCCTTCACTTTTTCAGTGGCACAATCACTGATGATGACTCCGCCTCTTTATAATCATTCAAGTCTTCAAAATCAAACACCAACTCCAACGTGTCACAGTACCTAACTCCTAGTTCTTCCAAGTTGTTTAAAGATTTCAGCACACGAAGGGGCACCAATTTCACAAAGCCACACTTTTTCACAAACAATGTTTTCAAGTTCCTAAATGAGTTGTGTGACAGTTGGTTCTCCCATATCAATGGAAGCAATACCTGCAGTTCACAGAAAATATGATCAAATGAAAATCACTTTTAGTTCGTAGGCTTACTTTTCATGAAAGATTGTTTAAAAGTCTAGATAAAACTCTCAACCACCACAATATTTTTCAAGAGATTGCTAAAAGTTCAATATGAAATTCCAAGTTCAAAAACAAAATAAATAAAGTAATCAAAAAATGAAAAAAAAAAAACTGTAAGATGCTACTGTAGCAAGCCTAATAGCAAAGCAAGTAATTCTCGTGAATATAATTTTTGTAGATAGGTTACAAAAAAGAAAAAAAGAAAAAGAACAAAATAAGAACAAACTAGAAAAATGCCATAGTATCCTGATAGCAATCACTGATGATGACTCCGCCGCCCCTTTATAATCATTCAAATCTTCAAAATCAAACACTATCTCCAACATGGAACAGTACTCGACTTTCAATTCTTCCAAGTTGTTTAAAGATTTCAGCACACGAAGGGGTAACAATTTCACAAAGCCACAACTTTTCACACACAATGTTTTCAAGTTCCTAAATGAGTTGTGTGAAAGTTGGTCCTCCCATATAATGGAATCAAACCGATTGAATTAGATAATCGCAATATCTCTAATTTTGGAAGCAACACCTGTAGTTTACAGAAAATATGATCAAATGAAAATCACTTTTAATTCACAAACTTGCTTTTCATGAAAGATTTTTTAAATGTCTAGATAAAACTCTCATCCACAATATTTTTCAAGAGATTGCTGAAAGTTCAATCTGAAATTCCAAGTTAAAAAAAAAAAGTAATCAAAAAATGAAAAAAAAACTGTAAAATGCTATTTTAGCAAGCTTAATACCAAATCAAGTACTTCTAGTGAATGTAATTTTTGTAGATACGTTAATTAAAAAAAGAACAAAATAAGAACAAACTTGAAAAATGCCACAATAGCCTGACAACAAAGTAAACAATTCTAGTAAAAATTAATTTTTGCAGGTAACTAAGTTTGAAGTTTTGTCAGAAAATTAAAAAAAAAAAAAGAATAATTAAAAAAACATGAAAATACCATATTGTTGAAAAGGGATTCCAAAGTTTAATTACAATGATTAGTCATCAAAACCACGAGCCACATTCTCATATATTTTAGTGACAGGGACAATTTCCAAAAATATCAAATTAAGGTGCTTTTAGGCTGACGAATAATTTGAGGCATCATTATTTATTTTAATACTTGGAGTAAGCTTTTCTCTTTTATTAGCTAATTTTAAGTCATTAAAAAAAATAGAAAGCTGCAACCTTCCATAATAGCCTAACAGCAAAACAAGTAATTCTAGTGAAAATGATTTTTGCATATAAGTTTGAAGCTAAGTTTTGTAGGAAGATAAAATAAGAAAAAATGTGAATAAAATAATCTGAACATACCTTGTTCAAAAGCGACTCAGACATTTTATTGGATATGTTATTTGTTGCTGCTTCATGATGTGCTGAGTTCCAAACAATGGACTCAACAGTATCGTTACTTTCAATCTGAAGATGCCTTAAATGCAGAAATGATCTTCCATCATAACCATGCAGAACATTTTCAAGCCCATTAGATCCATATAAACACAAATCTTCAGCTCCTTTCATCAACTTTCGAACCCCAGGCTTCAAACGGATATCACTCTCAAGCTCAAGTTTCAATACCTTTGAAGTTTTATAGCTGACCATCCGCCATTCCCAGTGCTTCCCAATGAGTATTTTGTATCTCATCAAATTCATATCTAAGAACAAATTCTCCGGCAACATCGAGACATTAGGAATATGAATATCTAGAGAACAGATTGGCAAGCCCTTCAACTCGTCAAGACTCGCGTTTTCATTAGCTTCAGTAGATCCTTCAACTTTCCACTGGTCAAAGCTATTTTCCATAAGCAAAACCCCCAATTTGTTGAAGCTAGATAGCAGTTTTGGTGGAATCACTTTGAGCTTGAAGCAGTGGGCTAAATTCAACATTTGTAAAGAAGTCAACTCTGCCAATTCGACGGGTAGTTGTTGAATTTCAGAGTAAGCAAGACTTAGCACTTCTAACTTCTTCAAGCTTCTAACCTCAATTATGTCTTCTAGAAAACAAGAGTGGAGACACAATGTTTTTAGTTTTTGCAGGAACATGAGTGATGGTAGTGACGAAATATGCACATTGGTAAATGCCAACACTTTCAGCTCCTTTGATGATTTGAAAAACATCCTAGGTATGGCCAAATCACGTTCTGTGCTGTCTAGCAGAAAGAATTCTAATCTTGGACCATGCAGCTCTTCTGGAAGGTCATTGATGTCACTCTCTTGTAAGCAAATTCCCTTGTAGTCTTCAAGCTTATCTTTGTCTGGCCATTCTTTCAAGCTTCTATGCCTCACAATGAATGCATTTAATTCATTGGGTGTGATCGATAATACAACATCTCGAAAGACATCATGTATTGTAAAGTAATGACTGGAAAAGCTATCAAGAAATAAGTTTAATGCTTTTAGATTACTTACGGCTGCAGAGACTCCAATGCGGGCATCTTCTATGTTTTCTATGCCGTCAAGAATATCTAAACCCATAGAGAACATGAGCAGGTCATCAATTGAGGGATCATGGGACAGCATGGCGGAGAGCAAGAAGATACGTTTTTTCTCCGAGCTTAGACAATCATAACTCGACTTCAATATCGCATCCACCTCTTTAATTCCTGTGATGTTTCTCCTCAAAGGATGATTCAATCGTTTACAGAAATCTTGCCACTCATCTAGATTTTTTCCCCTTAATGCCTTGGCAGCTGTTGCAATCGCTAATGTCAAGCCATGACACTTTCGAACAATCTGATTGGCCATAGATATCAAGTTGTCAGGAGTGCTTGAGTCAAGAGGAAGTTCAGAAATCCTCTTGAACAACTCTAATGCTTCATCCTCTGACAAAACATCCACTTCGATAATTTCTTGACATTTCATGTGGTTTAACAACAGCATCTTATTCCTTGAAGTTAGTAAAATTTTGCAGCCTTCATTCTTTTTGCTATAACTTCCAACATCAACAAAGGGAATTCCAACTTTGCCCAGATCAAGTTCCTCCCAAAGATCATCCAATATTAGGAGCATATTCTTTTCTAGCTTCAACCTCTCACACAAGCGACGAGCTCTTACTCCTTCAGATTTTTCATTGAGTTGGAAACCCAGGTTCTCTGCAATCTGGCCTTGAATCTTCTCAACGTTCAATTCATTAGAAACAGTTGCCATGATCACCTTTTCAAACATGTTTTGATTCTTCGCCTTCTTTGCTACCTCTTTAGCTATAGTGGTCTTGCCAACACCACCAAGCCCACACAATCCAGCAATACTAACACTAGGATTATGTAAGTGCTCCATAATCTGATTCACAATTTGCGTTCTTGAACCAATCCCTTCATTGCTTTCACTGGTGGGTAATTCTGGCATCGATACGGGAGGAACAGGATATGAAACTCTATCAAAGTTTCTCTTTCGACAGATTTCAATAACTTCTTGTGCCATTTCCTTTGCTCTTTTGCTTAGTTTATAACGTAGCCACAGGTTGGGACAGGAAGTTACGCTACACTCTGTTTTTTCTTGACTCTCTTCTTCATGAAACTTTTGAATTTGCTCTGAAATCTCATCTACTTTGCCCAACCAATGATGAACCTTGTCTTCAATTTGTTCTAAATTGTTTGTAGCCTCATCTATTTGATGTTGTATGGAGCTTCTTTCATCGATGAGTTCCACAAGTCGTTCATTGAGCTGCTTAATGTTTCTGTGATACTGAAACAGATAACGAAGCTGCTCCCAAGTTAGATCGATCACTAGATCCCGAAACTTGTCAACCAAACTACTCAATGTTCCGCAAGTGATATCCATTTAATTTGTACTCTGTCAAAAAGATATAGCCAAAACACAATTAAACTTGGGTTGTGAATTGATGCAGAAATATCGGCACCCTTCAAACAAATGTCTCACCTTTTTTTTCTGAATTAATGACGATGAAAACTTGATTTCCCCTTTTCCCTGTCTTTGCTTTTTCACCCTGTGGATATCAAAGCAAGAGTGAGGTCATTCAAATGATCACGAGTGACAATATTAATTTATTTGCAGTCAAAGTGCTTTTTTTTTTTTTTCAATTTCTGCAATATCAAAACATGATCACTAAATTTTGGCCCCTTACAAATATATATTTGAAATTCTAGAACACGTCACCATGCAGGTGAGGTAAGGTGAGAGGCAAGCTTCTCATTAAACAAGTAGGACATAAATTTAAAGTGCAGTTTTCTTTCTTCTTGAAGAAGCATAAAAAACCGGCAAAGTTAAAAATGATCACAATAAAGGAAAAGTGCCAGCAAAAAATGCAAGAGGAGAAAACTTAGGATTTTTTTATTTTTTAATATGAAAAAGAGAAAGAAAAACAAAAATTGCAGAAAAAATGTTTAAGAACAAGTTGAGAAATCAATAAACAAGAAGTAAGGAATGCTGTGTAGTTATGAAAGAAGACGACGAGAACCAACAAAAATATAGCAGAAATTAGTGAGAAGTGCCAAGAAAAGGAATAAAATTCAGAAGAAAATTTTTTTGAGACAATGCTGAAGAAGAAGCTGAGATGATGCTTTGGAAGGGACTTGAGAAATCCCATATAAACACGTTTTATGTAAGTCAAGATAAAACTTCTCTCACGTACTTGTTCCGTATTCCATAAATCACTATTAAAAAGTTACTTATAAATTACTTATAAACTGTTCTAAACAGGTTTAAAAAGTCTCTCATGAATAAAGGAGTACGTGAATGAGACCCACAGGCCACAGCAATTAAAGTAAAGGCACTTTTTTAAAGTTGATTTGAAGCCCCAGGACATTGGCTAGAGGATTTAAATTTTAAAGGTGACTAAAGAAAGGCGTGTAGTGTCTGAAAGTGACAAATGAAGCGTGTGGGTCCCCCAACTTGGGAATCCGTGCGCATATTTTTTCACAAAATTAGGTGAGCTCTTTCTATCTGTTTGAATGACATCCAAAATCATGATTTGAAAGACAAAACCATAATTTGGATAAAATATCATCCAAACAGCTTCAAATATTTTCAAACCATGGTTTTAAGTGAAACCATGGTTTCCATCAGTGAAACCATGGTTTGCTCAGAAGCAGAAAAAAGTCGCTTCTGGGAGTGAATTGGGAGAGAGAATTGGGAGTGTCAGATGAGACAACGGTCTAATTGACCAAAAACACCCTTTCTTCCTTTGCTGGCTGACACTTTCACTGCAGTGAATATAATCACTGGCCGACACTTTCAACTCGCCTCTCCACCCTTCCCTTGCCATCACCGCTCTGAAATTCTATACCGTTGAGATCGTCCTGGGCTCTCAAAAACAGGGGCTGGTCGTGTGTTTCTCAGCTCGCCAAACCAGATCAAGCGTTGGGTTGTCCGATC